TGCCCATCGACCCTGCCTTGAGTGTGACAGGGGGCAGTGCCCCAACCCCCCAATCGGCCCTACCCTGAGCGTGACTGAGGGTGGCATCACAACCTCCTGATCGCCCTGCTCTGTGCAGACTGAGGTTGGCATCGCAACCTCCCAATCGGCCCTGCTCTGAGCCCGACCAGGGGCTGCACCTAGGGATTGGGCCTGCCCTCTGCCACCCGGGAGCAGGCCTAAACCAGCAGGGCGTTATCTCCCGAGGGGTCCCAGACTGCTAGAGGGCACAGGCCGAGCTGAGAACCCCTCCCCCCCCCAAGTGCACAAATTTTTGTGCACCGGGCCTCTAGTCAGTATACAAACATAAAATTAATTTGAACAATGGTAAGTTAAAGGGGAGGCCACCAGGTTTCTCAGCCTTTGCAAGCAATTTGAGAAACCCAATAGATTTAAAGATACATGAAATAAGCATTTCTACCAGCTGCATTTTTGGTGCTATATTGAGCACCTATTTCCTTTCTCTGTAAGAAAAGGCAATCAATGTTGCTGGTCTCTTTGTTTCTAATGATGGTTAAACATAAAACTTTGGTCTTTTTTATAAACACAGCTGTTGTCCTATCACTGAGCCAAATCCAGACAAGATTAGACTATGGCTGAAATTAAGGTTAATCCCTGCAACCATCTCTAGTAAGAGCTTTCTAATACTGTTTTAGGAAACCTCTATTTTTGAGACAGTGTATAAATGAAATAAGGCCCAGACAACTAACCCCTAAAGTAAGCCAGAGGCAACTAGTGATAAATTATACCACAGAAATAAGGAAGATAGACTGTCTAAACGGCTTAGTTCATTTGGGTTCATTTTTACTTAGACTGTAACTGTAAGAAATGACATGACTTTCTTCATTAAGTTTAAACCAGACCAATATTAAGTTATTCTTTAAAGAACTTTCTACATCTTTTCTTAATTTAATGTTTCCTTGCTAATTGCTAATTCTTTCTTCCACTAGTACTAATGAAAACTGGGTGTTTGTTTATTACAAATAGATTTTATTGTAATTATTGTATAAGAGCTCACTTTGGTTTCTAGCCTATAAGTAGAAATTATTTTCATTAAGATTTAGACTCTCTAGAATCTGAAATACTTAGCCAAATATTCTGTAGGGCTGATTCTCCTTAGAGTTGGACACTGGAGTCTCAAGCTGTGTTGTGAATGCCTAGCAATGCCTCTCTCTTCAAAGAGCCTGTACCAAGGAGAACATCTGTGCATGCAGCCCTCATTGAAATCTGTGAGATTTCCCTGGTGCCTGATTGTGAGCAAGTCTAGGGCTTGCTGGTATATACAGCTGCATCAGAGGTCTTACCCCACAGATACTTTAACCCCCAAGACCATGGAGCCATTCTATACAGTTCTTTCATTTTGACCTATTCCTTTCCCCATGATCCCACTCACCTGCCACAATAAGATGTGTTCACATGTGTATATGATCTTTACAAGACCCTGGGTCATTGCTTCCTACCTATTGAGAGCAAATAACTGGGAGAATGGAATTATTGCAAGGGTTTCTCAATATTACACACATCTTACCACCACCAAAATCCTCTTTTTCCTTTGAAGCCACAATTTCCTGGAGTCCGGAGATAACATAGCCAGCTCCAAAATCCAACTTCCCTACATGATGTCGGGCATCCTGCCAACTGCCTCTTTCCCCTCCCAAACACCATTAACAGGGAGGAAGAATGAATCTGCCAGAGAATCCTTCCCTCCAATTCAGAGAGAGTGGATTTTGAAGATCTCATTCAGAAATCTTGAGAAGGTTAAAAAGTTCTCATATAAAGTGTGCCTGTCTGGGTATCTATTATGTGACCCCAGGTTTGGCTTTGGAGTTCAAGATGAAAGCCAGAACCCGTTAACCATTCCTGCCTATGTGACAGAAGAGGCAAGACTTTCTAAGGCAGGATGTATGGTAGGAAAACTAGTAGGACCCAGCCTGGAAAATAAAAGAACATGAAATAATATCTTTGAATTAAAAATTGGGGCTTTTAAAGATGGGTTTCCCAATATAGTTCACCATTTCCATTTAATGTTCCCATTTTAAATCCCCAACAATGTATGTGTTTGCTCAGTGAATATTAAATATCCAACCACAATCATCTAGGGATCCTCAAAAAAAATTTTTTTTCTATGAAGGGCTTCACATACTGGAAAATATTGTGAACCACTTTCCTAGACTGACTGGCTCGCACCTCCTGGCCCATTTTTTAAAAGGGTAATAGCAAAGGTTCTAGCATGATCATTTTGGACTCTAGAAACAAGGCTACAGGACCAAATGTTGATGTTGAACTTCCAGAGTAGTGTTAAGTGATTTTATGTGGTTGTGATTCAAAAAAACCCTGACCACTTTAAGAAGTCCAGGTGCTGAGTCATTTACTGAAACAGCCAAAGGAGGTTAATTAGAAGCAGCTGATAGTGGCATCATTTGCTGCAAATTATTTTTTAATATATGGAGAGGGTTATTCTGTGCAGAGTGCTATAGAGTATATAAACCTAAGCAAAGACTCACGACAAACCTATCTCATTCATACCCCCACCACTGGGGGACAAATCTGACATCGTGAATTCAAGATAAAATAACTTGGCTCTATTAAAATGTCAATGGTTACTTCTGATAAGAGTGACTGTGACATTTTTTCCTCCTATACTTTTTACTTTGTTTCCTATGATAAATATTTCACTTGCATAATAAATCCTTAACTTAAAAATAGGCAGCTACTAACTAGCACAGCTATATAATGTTGTTAGGGCATTTAAAGAAATTACAAAGAAGTTGGCAATACCACATGGTCACAAAAGGTAAAGGTAGCATGTACAAGGTATCAAACAAGTGATGAAAGCATGGCTTGGTATAAAGATTAAAAGAAATGGCATCATCTAAGGCAGGAAAGTTAAGACTCTTGGATTTCTTGGGGCATCAGTTCTGAAGAGAGGGTGGAGTCTTTCCGGGGTCACTAAAACATGTTTGATGGAGAGTCTGGATGGGGAATGATTAGTTCTCCCAAATGCCCTCCACCTCTTTTGTAGCCTGGCAGTTACTCCTTCCCTTGTGCTCACCTCTTGAGAAACTGAATTGAGACCCTAGACTCAGGAGAGAGGTATCTTACTGAACTCATTACTTGAAAGTCCACATATGCAAGGTGAGTGTTATGTGTTTTCTTGGATTTTATATATGTCTTTTAAACATCCATTCATTACAGGTCTCATTATATTGACTACTAGAGGCCCAGTGCACAAATTCATGCACCAGTGGGGTCCCTCAGCCAGACCTGCAGGATCGGGCCAAAATTGGCTCTCTGACATCCCCCAAGGGATCCCAGATTGGGAGAGGGTGCAGGCCAGGCCGGGGAGGGATGCGGGAGGTTGGCTAGCAGAGGAGAGACCACAGGAGAGCTCCAGGGCATGCCTGACCCTTCTCGCTCAGTCCAGATTAGCCGGACCTCAGCAGCAAGCTAACCTACCAGTCGGAGCCTCCGCCCCCTGTCATAAGGGCTGGTTGACCAGTTGACTGTCTGCCCCCTGGTGGTCAGTGAACGTCATAGCGAGCAGGCAGTTGAACGGCCTTAGCATATCATTAGCATATTACACTTTGATTGGTTGAACCAACAACCAAATACTTAGCATATTAGACTTTTATTATATAGGATATTTATTTTCTGTATTTTTTTATAAGTATTTTTATTGATTTCAGAGAGAAAGGAAGGGTGAGAAAAATGTCAGTGATGAGAATCATCAATTGGCTCCCTCCTGCACACCTCCTACTTGGATGGAGCCTATAACCCAGGCATGTGCCCTTGATCAGAATTGAACCCAAGACCCTTCTGTCCGCAGACTGACACTCTATCCACTGAACCAAACTGGCTAGGGCTGTTTTCTTATAAGTACTGCGCGCTAACCGACTGCGCCACTGGAGCTCCTGGCTAGGGCTGTTTTCTGTATTCTTGAAGGACATTTGTGGCTAACTGATGCCTAAAGGTAATAAAACAACTTACTTGGAAGCTCGTTTTCATATGTAAATCAACCAATCCCTAGCCTGTTACAAGTTTCCTCCTCTGTCCAAAAGTAGAGCATTCATAGGCTGAAATGGTGTGAAACAAAGAAGCAATTACCATTAATTTATATGGATAACATTTTGAGCTTTCTGTCTCAAAATTTAGTACATGCACAATGTCTTTATTTTGTTTACAAGGATCTAAATGCTTAATTATGTCCAGTTTGATGCTAACACCCTTAGGAGCTTAGGGTTTTGGATACCTTAGGACAGTGGTTCTCAACCTTTGGCTGCACATTACAATCACCTGGGAATCTTTTTAAAATTCTGATTTCTGGGCCTCATCCTCCGGAAATTCTGTTTCTTTGTTACTAACGTTGTGGCCTCACCCCATAACAAAGAAACAGAATTTCTGGAGGATGAGGCCCAGAAATCAGGATTTTAAAAAGATTCCCAGGTGATTCTAATGTGCAGCCAAGGTTGAGAACCACTGCCTTAGGACATACCTTGCTAACGGATGCACAAAAGAACTTGAGATAAAGCCCAGATGCGTTTTTAGTTCAAACCTGTGGTGCATTGATGCTGAGATGCTCAGTGTGCTTCCTGGTAAAGGAACTTGGTGGAGCCACTCTTGGATCAGAGGGTGCAGCTGCCTCTATAATGGTTCCCTGACAAAGCCAACACTGAACGCTATTTTCCCTTGATAAACAAGTGACTATTTGATTAGCAAATGAGCTACTTAGATAACAGGACTAGGCAGGGAGAACTCAAACAGTCGCAATTTTTTACTTTTCCTCTTTGCCACGTTGTTAAGGTTTTCCTGCTGGAACCGCAGCGCGCTCCACCTCGCGCCCCCTGGACTGACGTTACAATCTGAAACTAGAACTACCAATCCCAGAATGCCAGGCGAGAGGGCGGGCTCTCCGAGAACCGCTGCGTGATTGGTGTGCGAAGGCGTTTCCTTCCGGAAGGAAGGGCCCGGGAGGCGGGGACTTGGGGAGACGTTCTAACACTATTGCGGGGTTGGATGCACCACAGCGGGGAGGGTTTGTGGGTGATGCCTGGGTCCCCCGCCCGCTGAGGACATGGATGAGGACGGGCTTCCTCTCATGGGGTCAGGCATTGACCTGACCAAGGTTTGTAAAAGGAGTTGGACTTCCGGTGACCTGGGAGGAGGATGGTGAAGGGACGCCCGGTTTTCAGGGAGACCCCATCTTCCATGCCTCCCGCTGTCCCTGACCGCTGG